AAACGAAGAAAATCTACCCGTGCTGCGCGGCACTTCCTATAAAAGTTTATAACTCGTTTTTCCTCCGCCTTAAGCTCAGGCGAAAAGTTTAGAAAGGAGGTCTAAGATGCGCGACGATGAGCGGGATGTGCTTTCAAATGGAAGGTGCTAACTTTTTCGAAACCGTTCCAGTTTCCAAAAAGGAGTAGTCAGAGGATACCGAAGGGCTGTAGTCAAATCTTTACAGCGCACGCGCCGAGGAAATTATACGAAAATTCATACCGAGCAAAGCGTATGAATTCATATCGAAAATGATCCGGAATCGGGAAAATGCTTACGGGTCACCGAGGGTAAAGAGCTCAAATTTTCAAAGTGGGCAGGCAAAGATCAAGAATTTCAGAGCTCTTAAAATTTGTTTGTCACGTACGCGCTAGTAAGCTTTAGTCCAACTGGTAAAAGATCAACGGCACTATCAACCGAGGTAGACGCGCTATGACGATGCCTCAGCACATATCATCGTTCCTCTCTGGAAAGGAGAAGGGATTTGTAATAAATCTATACGCTTAATGTTTAGCATCCGTCTACTATCAAAGACGAATCAAAATCTACATTCAGCAATCTGGGAAAAATGGACGTGCTTACTGTCCTACCATACTCACCCCATACTCATGGCTTCTGTTATATAGAACATTGAACAACGCCACTTCAAATTCAGGATACACAAGACGTCCCCAAAACAGAGAGTCCAAAGGAATAGTTACTGCTGAAAAAGCCACTATTCTGAAAACAACCATCCTGCATTCATTTCACCTAGTAAAAAAGTGGGACATACCAAGCACTTTGACAGCAGTTCTCAATCCGTTCACTAAAGCTCCATCCCATCCGAAAAGAGGCAGTCTTCCAGTGACGATGACTCGCAAAAATATAGGAGCAAATAGCAACACAAGTTCGCATCTGTAACATGTTTCTTTGCAGATTCCTCCCAGCTCCACGCTGTTCTCACCTGAATAGCACGACAGCCACAGTTGCCCATCGAACCGCACTTTCATAACGGTTTTCCAAACATCTATGAAATACTGTCAGAACTGAAAGGTCCTCGATGAAAAGAAGATGTGGCTATTCTGAATCTACTGTTAAAATTCCGTACAGACCAAAAATAAAGGCGAATGTGTTAGGAAGGGTCCGTGACGCATAAAACAACATGTGAAATTGGGAAGCAACGATGACTCTGAAAACAGTATTAAGTTGACAAATGCCACCAGATCATCAGGCAAAATGTAAATGAGAAAAGGCTAGGGTAGAGTCTCAGAAAATTGTCAGCTTTGCCGAAAGCAAATGAGACATACATGCATACATGTGTATACAGTGCGTCGCAAAATGATACAGCCACCCCTAACTTCCCCAAAAACTCACAGTATTTGATGTTACTGAAAAACTGCCAAAGTAAAAAATGTGTCAAACTTGAATTGCAATTCGCAC